ATAGTTTCAAGAGATCCACAAATACATCTAAATGAATGAAAAACAATTGAGGTTTAAGGCTGGAGCGCTCAAATTATGATTAAAGTGCTGTCATTCAGGAACTTAGCCACTGTGCTGTGTTTTTGACTCAATCCAATATTTGAGTCCAGTCTTGATCTCTGTAGAATTATGCTTCCATATGTACATCCCCAATAGATGATACTGTGAGGAAAATTACAAAATCCAAATAAAACAATTTGCCACAAAAGGGAACAGTATATCATGAATGCAGTGGAACCTAAAGATTTATTTACTCTGTAACTTTCAGAAATTTGATCAGTTCTTGTTCTCCCTGTTACCAACCTTTGTTAAAAAGAGAGAAAGCACTGGAACGTTCACGCCTATGTACTTTTTAAAAGATTATTACTCTTCCCTTAATTCCAGCATATGACACCTTCACAACTGCTTTCCTCCAACACCACAAATTTGGATTTTTTTTTCTTTTCCTGGTGTGTTTTTAAGTGCCCCGTTTTTTCCCCCTAAATTATTTCACCAACAGGATTGCTTCTTGAGAAAAACGGAAGAGTTGAATGTGGATTGTAGTGGATTCTACTACTTAATGCAGGTCAGGCTTTCTGGAGACCTCATGTGGTGATAAGAGGCACCACAGAAAGTTTTCTCTGGACTGTCTGTAGCAGTCAAAGGGAAACTGAACTCATTTGGGAGCATCATCATTTAGAAGGAATTAAAACTTAAGAGTTAAACGTTAGCAAAGCATATAAGGCCTCCAAGAAACATCCTGCAGTAATGCTAAAGAAAGGCTATAGTAACAATTTTAAAAACAAGAAACCTGAGCGACACAAGAGCGCTGACTTCTATTTAAAGTTAATCACACACACACACACACACACACACACACACACACACACACACACACACACACACACACCTTCCTCTTCTCTTGCTGAAATTAATGGAATGCATCTTCCTATATAGATTTGCAGCAACTTAAAAGTGTGTTCCTTATGTATGTTATATTAGTTTCATCTTCCTCTTGCTTCTGTAGAATGGAAAGCAAGCTAGAGAGAGAATTGAACTTGAACTTGTCTTGGAATCTCATTCCTGTACCAGTACCAATGGTATTATTTCTAGATGTTTGGAATGCAGATAGCAGTCTTGCAATCCAAATGCATAAAAATGAGTGATAGTGATAGTAATAGGCAAGTTGAACACAAATTCATCTTATTGATAATGAGATATTAACACTGTGACATTTAATAAATTAATGTTATCCATGAATATCTCTTAACAACACACTTTACAGAGAAAATTCGTAGGTGGGAAGAATTCTTCTCCTAGGGCAGTTATTTGCTTTGTGTGAAAGTGTGACTATGGCTTCTTCTTTCTCTTTCTAGAAGTTACATAAGAGACCTTTTAGCTGAAGTCTAGAAGGACATATAGGATAATAAATATTAAAGGTTTGGAGCTCTGAAATGAATAGAGGAATATAAATCAATGACATTAATAAGAGTAATCTTAAGGGTTCAAATTTCATTTTTGAATTGACATCCTGCCTTTGGAAATGTCCGCAAAAGGAATTTAAGTTTCCCAGGGCATGACACATGATATAGAGGTAAGCATTATGAAAGGACATTGTGGAAAATTTAAATAGGAAGCCAAAAAAAAAAAAAAGCTAATGAGGATATTGGAAAGATTTCAGGCTGACCATACCTTAAGAGTTAACGATCAGCTACAGTGCATCTGGCATATTGTTAGATACTAAAAATACGGGGAAAAAAAAGAATTGCAAAGGTCTTCTTCCTTTCAAAGGAGCCACAGATAATACCACAAACAATTCAAAGCTAGCTCCAGGCTAGGGGTTTGCAGGAATTCCGGTGAAAGTCTCTTAGAGGTGGACTGAGAAGGAGGAAAAGAAGCAGATGATCCCTTTTAGATTCAAGGAAGAAGCTGAGTCATTTAAATGTCATTTCAAACCTATAGTGACACTGAGTTTTTGCTGGGAGAGTGGGAGCTGTTGCCAGACTCTCATCACACTAAAGAGACAAGGGGGGAAAAAAGAAAAAAAAAAAAAGGAAATTCTCTTTTCAAACAGTAGGGGAAAAAAATTATCCAGAACTGCCCTGAAATAAAGGAAACCTTCTGGTACCATTTACGTTGCTAGGGTTTTTTTTCCCCCTTCTCCTTTTCTCCTCCTCTTTTACTTCCTAGGAGAGTAACTTCACACAAACACACTGAAACCCTCAGAGCTCTGGGAGCATACTGGATCTCCAGGACTTGGGATGATGACCTCCGGGCTGTTAATTATGGGACTACAAAGGAAGGGTTAACCCAAGGGGTGGCCAGGAGAGATGGAGAAACATCGCTCTCCAACTTGCCAAGACTGAACTTTTCAGCTCCCTCCAATACTCGCGTGTGCGCGTGCGCGTGCGTGTGCATGCCCACAAGCAGATCTATTTCAGTGAGAGTTAAAAAGTAACATATATATATATATTTATACATGTAATTTAAAAATCACCCTCCCTCCATCTCTGTCTCCCACTGTGCTGCACGCACCAACACCCGCAGCCCTGTTTTCTTTGGGATCCGCGTTCAAAGCCACCCTTTCTCCCCCTCCCCAGCCCCCATCCTCCCCATGCCAACCCCCAGCTCCCAGGCCAGGCTACCTCTGGAGTGGTCGAGAGGTGGGGGCTGCCGTCCTGCCCGCCCCCCCCCCTCCCCAGGAGCCTGCCTGCCTTCCTCCACCAAACTTTGCCCGAGCGTGGGAGCGAGCAGGCGCACGCGCGGGCGGGCGCGGGGACGCGCGCGCCGGCCCCACTCCGCCTCCGCCCCGGCGCGGGCGGGCGGGCGGGCGCGCGGGCCTCACCTCCCTCGGTCTCTCTCTCTCTCTCCCTGGGGCGAGGTGCGGGCACCTCGCGCGCCGCCGGTGGGCGGGGCCTGGCCTCGGGGGGCGGAGCCTGGGGCGGGGTGAGCCGGGAGGGAGGGAGGGGGAGGGGGAGTAGGGGCTCCGGCGGCTATATAAAGCCCCGCTCGGGGTTTTTTAACTTCAGACTTGAGGCTCTTTCTCGGGGACGCGCCCGGACGGCGGCGGGGGGTTGGCGGAGGTGGTGGCTGCCGCAGATGGTGGTTTAAAAAAGAGAGAGGAAGAGCGAGAAGGAGGAGGCGGCGGCGGCGGCGGTGGCGGCGGCGGCGGCGGCGGCAGCGAGAGCGATGGGAGCGTCCGGGCTGCCGGGCGCAGGCCGGGAGTACTGAGGAGGAAGAGAAGGGGGAGCCCCGGGGGGACCCCGCCTCCCCCCGCCGCGGCCGGCGGGTCGGCCGCGCAACTCCAGTTGACACCCCCACCCCCACTCAGCAGCCCTCGGCGGGACTCGGGCCGCGGCGTCCGTCCTATTGTTTAGACCCTAGCCGGGGACCCGGGCGGCGCGGAGCCCCCGGAGGCGCGGAGAGCGGCCGGGCGGCGGGGAAGTGCCTGCGGCGTGGGGGGGTCGGGGTGGGGTGCGGAGGGGGCTTCGGAGGCGCAGGGCTCCCGGGGACCGGAGCCGCCGCCGCCGCCGCCGCCGCCGCCGCGTCAGGTGCAGCGTGACGAGTCCCGGCGTGCGGGCGGGCGGGCGGGCGTGCGGGCGGCGGCGTCTCCGCGTCTGGCCGCGAACTCCGGCCGTTCCGACGCCCGGAGCCCGGGGGTGTGGGAAAGAAAAAGTTCCTGCACTTTGAGAAGGGCTTGAGGGGTAGAGGGGAAGAGAACCCTACTTGGACGAGGTTGGCCCCGGAGGTGGTGCGGGGGGGTGCACCGGAGACCCCCCTCACCGCCCCCCGCCGAGCTGGCTGTGGCTTCTCCTACCTGGGCCGTCAGGTGTGGGCCGCGAAGCTGCAGTGTCTCCGGGAGACCAGCCGGGCCGACCCGGGCGCGCGCGCGCGCGCCACGGCCGTGCGGAGAGTAGTCTGGGGGGCTCTCCCCGGCGTGGCGGACGGACCCCCCTTCCTCCCCTCCACCTTCCCCGCGATCGTCGTGCAGGACACTTCCGTGGAAGCCGCCTCGGGGACACGGACACCTGGAGGGGGCCTTTGCCTTCCCAGCCCCTCCACCCCCATGCCCGGTGTCCCGTCTGCCTCCTCGCGCTGTCCCCCCCCAGCCAGTGCCCACTTAGTCCCCGCAGGGGGTCTGGTCCCCGATCTTGGCCTCTAGGATTTCCTCGGGAGGAAGCTTCGGACTCGTGGATATTCCTGCGGGCTGGCAGCGGATTTGGTCGGATTTGCCCTTTTGTCTCTCGGCCGTGACCTCAAGGCCAGCCCCAGTGCACAGCGTCGCCAAGGACGCCAGGCGGGGAGGCGGGATTGTTGGAGACGTCCGCCGGCCGCGAAAGTGCGTGGTGTGTTGGCGAAGCCTCATCCTTGGCTGTCGGGAGATCGGGAAGACCTCAGGCGGACGGAAAGGGGTGTGTGTGTGGGGTTGGGAGGGGGGGGGGGTCCTCGCTGCTGCCAGGGAGCCTCCAGAGAAAGGAGAAGCGGCGTGAGCGAGCCGAGCCCTGCGCCTCTCTCCGCGCCGCCCGGTGCGCCCCCGCGCGCGCGCCATGCCCAGGGGCTCAGCGCGCGCCGCGCCTCTCGGAGCCCACTTTGAGCCAGGCCACCGGTATTACTCTTGAGCACCTCATCTTCTGCCCTGATCGCTCCCTGGGGCACCGCCACCACAGGGGCGCTTGGGATCGCCAGAACCCTCTCTGTTCCACGCCGGCAGACGTGTAGGCAATCTCCCTCTCCATTCTCGAAGGCGTTTGGAACCCAACCCCAGCTGTTTTTACCGCCAAGTTGCTACTCGTGGGAGATCGCCGACTGTTGCCTTCCTCCCCACCGTTCTCCGCAGCGCCTGGCAGCTTTGACCCGGAGGATTGATTTTCCGCCAGGACCTAAAAAGTTGACCGCGGAGCTAAAAGACGCTTGGAGAGACCAGGGGCCGGGGGTAGGTGGGGTGGGGGGGTGGGGAAGGAGCATTGCCTCCGCCTTTTAACTATTACTCCTGATCGGTATTATTTTGTACACACATCCTTGGACACTCCGGACTGCTGGTCCTCCGCACGGGGCCTCAGAGAGACTCTTTGGTTCTCTGGAAACAGGGAGCTTATACAGAGACGCCTCCCTCCCCTCCGACCCCCCTTCCCCCAGCCTGCGAGCCCGGAGGCGCGGGGAGGGAGGAGGAGGAAGATGCCCGGCGTCGGCTGGCAGATGCTGTCCCTGACGCTGGGGTTAGTGCTGGCGATCGTGAACCCGGCGGCCCCGCAGGCGTGTCCGGCGCAGTGCTCCTGCTCGGGCAGCACCGTGGACTGTCACGGATTGGCACTGCGCAGTGTGCCCAGGAACATCCCCCGCAACACCGAGCGACTGTGAGTACGGCCCCAGCCCTCCTCCACTCTCCTTGAGGCTAGCGTCCCAGGGTTCAAGCTCAGAGGAGCCGGCTTTGCCGGATCCTGCATGCGCATTCTGGGTTGGGCTCTCCCCCCCCTCCGGGGTGGGGGGAAAAGGGGGGGGAGATACTACCCCTGGGCAGCAGCCCCTGGGTCCCTTGGCTCTCCTCCCGCCATTCGCGGCCTCGGTGGGGCGGGTGTGCACCCCGCTTCCCCCGGGGTGCCTGAGGATGCAGGCGCCAGAGAAGCCAAAGGGAGAGGTGACTTTGTTTGTGGGGGGGAGGACTCAGTAGTAGAAAAAGAAAAATGACAAGCGTGCACTCTGGGCTTCCAGCCGCTCGGCGGGCGGCTTCAGTCCGCGTCCTTGTCACCTGTGGGAGGCGGGGAGGGGATGGCGGCCGGGGAGGGGGGAGGCTCCAAAGAGAAACTTCCGCTCCCAGGCTTTGTGTCGCGCCCTCCCTGGGGACAAAAGGAAAGGGGGGGGGGGTGTCACGGATTTGGAGAGGCTCCGAGATACTCTGGAGCTGCCCCGGGACGGGGCAGAGCTCGCCTGGGAGCAGTGGGTAGCCAGCCCTCCCCCTCCCCCCACCCACACCCCATTTCTACAGGAGAGGTTGGGGCGAGGTTGGGGTCCACGTCCAAAGACCCTGGCTGGGTCCTACGAACAAAAAGTCCTATGGAACTTTGTTCCCTAGGAACCCTCCCAGCAGGGGCCGACTGCTTTGGAGACCCTGGCTGGGCCCTTTCCGACCCTCCCCGTGCCCCCCCTCCCCGCCTCGCCCTCGCCCCCCCCAGTCCACCTTTCAGGCAGTCGTGCGCCCCTTCACGTGTCCGCGCCCCGGTGCCCCCCCCCCCCCCACCGCCTCTGGGTCTCCGGGTCTCCGCGCTCGGCTGACCGCAGACGTCCCCGCCTCCCCGTCTCCGCGCGCGCGCCTCTAATGAAGAAGTAAATGCCGAGCCGGAGTGACGGCCCACGCGCGCCTAGCGGGGCGCTTCTCCGGCTCGGGGAAGTGGAGCGTGGAGGAGGCAGTTCCCTTTGTGAACGCCCAAGTCCAGCCGCCGCCCGGCGCCCGCCAGATCATCCCCCTCCCTGCCCCCCCATCCCTGGCGCGCCGGGCTCTGCGGGTGGCTGGGTCCCTTACCCGGACCCGGCAGGCGCGCCCGCTCCAGGCTCCGCGGCTCTGGGTGGCAAAGAGGACATGCCCCATCCACTGCACCCTTGAAGCCAGCGGAGCTTTCTGTTGCCCCTTTGCTGGATCCAGCCCATGTCCGCAGAGATTCACCTGCCTGCAGCTTCCCAGGGTCACTGCTCCCCCCCCCCCCCGCCCCCCCTCCTCCAGTGATCTGGCCCTCAAGCCGTCAGGGCTAAAGAAGTGAGGAACCTTACCCGAGTGGTCTTGCTGAGCCTTATTCATCTGAGTTGGAGAGCAGGGACTCCTGTTATTGCAGTAGAAACCCCCCGCCCCATGTTTTGTTTTGTTTAAAACTTGATGGTATTTTGCCATAAGGATGGGGAAATAGGGTAGGAAGAATGAGGGAGGCAATGGAAAACTCACTTCAGACACGGCGTTTTCCTGCTCTTCTTTAAAGCTTCAGCGCTATTGTGTTTTAAAGGAAGGAGCTGGGGAAATGGCCATTGAGTTTGGGGGGCTTTGGATAAAAAATAATAATAATTTAAAAATCTCTCATAAAGGAAACGAAGTGCTGGTTTATAACATTCTACCAGTGACCAAGTAAACGTTTTAAATCTAGATCGTAAACCTATGTGTTTATAATGAATTAAGCAGGAATGTATTTCCATGAAAGAACATACTCAAGACGGGTTTGGTTTTACTTGCAACCATTGGAACCAGGAAAGTTTAGGTCTTGATCTGAGATGCCAGAAAGAGAGAGGGCTGGGATTTCTAAAGGCAAAGTGATGCTTAGTCAGAAGAATTATGTTTAGGCCTCTGTACTAGCCTCCATTATAACCTCCACTCTCAGTTTTCACTTTCTCCATCCCAGCCTAGTGGCAAATGAAGAGTTTAGTTTTCACACAAACAAACAAAATTGCTGAAAAATAAATTCCTCTAAATGCAAGGCTTTGAAGTGCAGTGCTATTCTTGGCACATTTTTTTTGTTTGTTTTTAACTTTGCTTTAGAAAGTTCAGCCACCAGGCTACCTATGGTTAGTGGTCTGAAATGTTAAAAGTTCTTTCTGAATAGTAGAAAAAAAATCATTCAGTTTTAACTTCCTGAAGGAGAATCCTTACTGGTGTGTTTACCAACACACTCTTATAAAAAGGATAAAATTGGCAATCCTTTGTACAACTAAAGATAATTTTAAAAATAAAATTGAAAACACATCCAAACACAATACACAAATAAGTTTCCCTGGTAACTTCATCGCTTCATTTTTCTGTCAAATACCCACAGAATACATTTTGTAAACTAGATCATTTATACACTATTCAAAGTATTCAAAGGCCCTTCTCTCTCCAATTTACTTTCTAAGTTACGTCATTAATAGAATTGATTTTGAGTTTTGAAATCTCTAACTTAGTTTAAATTTTACTTGATTTAACCAAATGTGATTTAAAAAATAATAGAAATAATGTAGAAATTTCATTTTCTGGTTGTCTCTTAGGGATCTGAATGGAAATAACATCACTCGGATTACGAAGACAGATTTTACTGGGCTCAGGCACCTCAGAGTTCTGTAAGTTTTTCTTGCTGTATCTAAAAAGTATTTTGTGTTTTTTAAGACTATATTTAGAATTTCTAGTCTTCTCGGATTTTACAAGTGTTGCAATGAGAACAAAAATTTTAAAGTCCTTTGTCTTTTTTTTTTTAACCAAACTTTTAGTAAAAATCTAGGGCTTTTAAGATAGGATATATGCCACAGAGTGTTATAGACAAGTGCTCATATATTTGTTTTATGCTATGCTTTATTTGCTTAAATATGTAGATTAATTGCCTTAACAATAGGAGCAAACTATGTGACCCATTGGATACTTTGAAGATTTAAATTTACCTAGACAAATTTAAGCAGATGTACATTTTACTATAAGAGAGGTTGAAATGGTTAGACTTGTTTTCTGCAAAGGGCACAGAGATATAATTTCTTCCATTAAAATCAAAATCAAGCAAAAAGGCTTTCAGCAAAATTGGGGGAAATATGTACATATAAATAAATTGGTCTTAATTAACTTTCCCAGATTTTATGCCTTTGTAGCCAACAAAAATTGTTAAAGCTTCAATTAGTGAGTGGGTTAAATTAGCTGTAAATAAACCATCACTTGGAAATCAGTGTTACATAAAATTGTTTTCCCCTATAGTATTATAAATATTTACATTTCAATCACCACATACCTTAAACTCTTTGTATTCAGTCTCCACTTTTTAAGACTTATTTTGGCACTTTTGAAATCTCCCAATTGCTGTAAGTAAGAATTTAGGAATGTATTAGATGAATTACTGCATGCTGGTGCCTTAGTTAAGAACTTAGTTGAAAACTAGCATAATAAGAAATTGCCACAATTCAATATGATGAGATGCTGTTCATTTATTGCTATAGTCTAAAGATTCAGATTCATAACTGGAAAATCATGTGAACTTTGTTAATAATTTTTTCTTACATATATATTGTGGAATAGGCTGTCTGTTTACCCCCTGAATGCTCTCACATGTTTCATCACTGTATGTACTATTGGATCGGGATTCAGAGCAACATTTTAAAAGACAAATAGGTTACATGTTTTTAGATGCTGTGTTCTAAACTTCCTGATGCAAACATTAAGAAGCATGTTATATTTTGCATTTCAGTCAGCTTATGGAGAACAAGATTAGCACCATTGAAAGGGGAGCATTCCAAGATCTTAAGGAACTGGAGAGACTGTAAGTATTTTCAATTCCAAACTCATGACAACATGACTGCATTTTGTAAAGCACTTGAATTTGAGGATTATGTCTTCAACTTTACATCTTCTGAAAGTGTAGAGAAAATAAAGCATGATGAATAAGTTTTGCTTTTTTTCAGACTAATTTACAAGTAGAGTTTCTGGATAAAGTGTACTGACTCATAATAAAGTACAAAAGTACACATTTACTTTTCCTGACACTTTTTTTTAAGTTAAAGATATCCTAATGTGTTCATCTGATTAGTCTTATTAGCTTAAGAAGGAAGAAGAGTGGTATATTTTGCAATAATGGTATATTATGATATAAAAAGGGCTCAGCTAATATTTTAATAATTTTTTGTTGTGACAGTTGAAGAAGTGTTTTAAATTGTTGCTGATTATGATTTACATTTTGATTATGTCATACTTGTTAACATTGTTCGTAATGATTTTCTATAGTTTTATTTTCATTTTTCTGTAGAAGCTTCTAAACATTTTCTGCTGGAGAAATAAGTTAATGATTATTAAAGATTATTAACAGCATTATCAAAGTGTGGTCATTTAATGTGGACTCTTTTTCTTCCCAGAAATATAAATGTAAACTTCAACTTAAAATTATACCTTTTTCATATGCAAAATCTTAGGAATTGATACACATTACATAAGGACAGGTTTAATGCTCATAGGAATTGATACACATTACATAAGGACAGGTTTAATGCTCATAGTACTTGTCTATAGAAGAGAATATCTATTTGAAATAGCAAAACTACAGACTTTACCATGTCAAATAGGAATTATCTTGTTCCTAAGTCTTGATTAGCCAAGTTTGGAAGGTTCGCATTTTAAGGAAAAATTAAAGCTTTATTTAAAGTTGCAGCAATTATTTTAATAAGTTTTTATGACAGCTTTAATAGTCACTTTAGGTCAAAATAAAAGCTTACTTGAAATAATGAAATGTGTTCATGTTAGGCCTAATGCATTCAAATTCAGTAAACTCAGGGACAGAAGTTACTTCTGTGTAATGTTGTAGAAATGGAGAGATAATCTTGTTATTTTCTGACAAATATGTCAATATATGAGGTTGTATACTTATCACTTCGAGTAAAATACAGAAATGTCAGTTTACTATACTATGAAACTTTACCCATTATGAATATTGTAAATATAGGGAATATGATATGGAATTAAAAATAAATCTAAAATCACTAGTTTATTTGATTGGGGGGTGGTAAATGAAAACAGGAAATGTTTGGTTGAGTTCATAACAAAGTTCATAACCTATTGTGAACATATGAAAGTACTTTGAAATAATTCTTCTTTGCACTGTTTCATGTGCTTTGCTGACTATTCAGTACCCTGTAACTCACAAGATATTCTTAAACAATCTAGTTTTTTAGGCACTGATACATTTTAAATGAATAGGTAAGCTTAAATAATCTTTTCAGCATTAACAGTCTAGTAAAATTAACTTCTAGTTATTATCTATGCCTTGATTCTTAACCTACAAGTCATAAAAGTCTTAATGTTTCTGTTTTTTAATTTGGTTATATTATAATTTTAAATCTTTTTGGGAGCACCAAAGAAAAACACTTTCTTACACAGATAAAAACATAATCAAATAAAACACACTTTCTTATTTTTTTTGCAGTCACTTCAGAGTATCATTTGAACTTTCATCTTGAATAAATTAACTTTTCCTAAAAATTATTAACCAGATGCCATGTGATGTGAAATTCGATTAGAGTTGTAAATAGGTGCTGTTCTTTGACTTTTTTTTTTTTTTACTTCCCTTGGGAATGTCACTTCATCTCAGAACAATTTTCTATTTTACTAAGGCAAAGTCAGATGCTGCATTGCAGAAGGCTTTCTAATTTTGAATGAAAACTAATATATATGCAGGACATCTTTACATCACCCCAGCTGCTGGCCAAGAGCAAATATTTCATATTTGTGAGGAAAAGCTGAGAAAATTCCTTTTGTTTACAACTGCCAAGTCCATCTGATGGAAGCACATTGTTATCTGACAGCCAATTCATCTCCTTGGGACTCTGGAATTCTAAACCATTTCTTAGGAACATTGTGGATACACTTTTCAAATATTTATTTTAAAAAAATATGCTAAAATGGTGAAGCACTTTTACTGAGGAAGCCATTCACATCATTGTGAAACAGACCATTTTAAATTTTGTTTGCTGTCTTATTTTCAAAAAAGAAAATAAAACCACCTTGTAGTTCCTTGTTCAAATTATGATAGCCTGTGTTAGATACCAGGTAGCATGATCCAGTGTTCTAAACATCACCAAAATGATGTTTCCCCACATAACTGCAAGGGACTAGGAGAGATGTGGGGGAGAGGGATGAGAACTTTTAACAATAAATCATGTAAATATGCATGATTTTTATTTAGATATATAAAAGTATAAGTTGAACTCTAAATCATGAAAAGATATAGCAAAGTAGATTAATGTTTAGATATCATATTGGGAATAGTAAGTTTTCTCGTGCAAAAAAGAAAATAGAAATATTAGATGTATTAGGGAAATGAAAATTTAGCATTTTTATTTTAAGATGATACAACTTAAACGTTGCCTTTTGTAAGTATTTCACTAGTACGTCTTTTTTCTTTTTTATCAGTTGAGTTTGAGCTTGATTTAGAGAAAAAAGAAAACAGAAGCTCTATGATTTTTTCTCTAAATCATATTTTCTTGTCTTTCAAAAACAAAATCATTTTAACTTTGTATTACTGTCTTTTTCCTTGGATGCAAAATTTTATTTAATTACTTTTTGTATTTTCAAAAAAACCCACAAAAAACAGAATCATTTTAAGTTGAATTTAACTTCACCATGGAATTGAGAAGCTATTATTTGAAAACCAAAGCATCAAAGCTACAAAAGAAAGATATTTTTCCACTCCAAAAAATGGGTGTGATTCAGAATATTCAGGCTGTCCAGTGGTAGATGAATGCTAACTCCTTAAATCTTTCCTTCCCTATTTGCTGTATCCTTCCTCCTACCCTCCTTTCCTCTTTTACTGTCTTCTTTTGTTTTCTTGGCTTTTTCTCCCCCCCTTTTCCTCCTTCATTCCTCTCTCCTACTTTCTGTTTATAGAAAACAGACTTAAATGATTTGATCATTATCAGAGTGTGCTTATACATCCATGTAAAAGAAAGAAGTTTTAGTCATGCCTTAACAACTCAAACACATTACTTCTCTTTCTGAAAGTTTGCTCCTGTATTCCCAGACCTAAAATGTGCACTGCAGGTTTTCTATGATGATCTATATTGTCCTCATTTATGATCTGTTTGTGTAGGAAAAAATATAGGAAGTCTTGAGAATGTGTCTCTTGCACAATGCATTAGCAGGCCTCCTATTGCTTTATCACAGGGTTCAAAGGAAATGTAAGGTAGTTAAATGACAAGCTAATTCAATGAAAATTAAGGCAGAAGAAACTATAAGCTAGGGCAAAGAATCAGACATTGGGAACCTTTTCTTATACTTCCAGAAATACTTGCATATATTCAGAATTTATTCTCCATGCAAAGTTATTAATTTAAGATATTTCTCAGCTGGTTAACAAAAATAACACTTAGGCCTTGGAATTCTGTGGGCTGGAATAAAATTCTGTTGCTCACTTAAAGTTTGCAGACAGTTGTGATTATGGATCAGTCAAGAGTTTCACTGCTTTTTAAGATGCTTTGATCTATACTCCAATACTGTTAATTAAGGGAAATACATATGTGTCTAGCTTATGTTAGAAGGAATAGCATGCCATGGAAAATATTGGATATTAGACTTCATGTGGGCTAACAATTCCTTATACTTTTCATTAAATAAATTGCAGAAGTGATAGAGGCAAGTATAATTACCCCTTTCCACCAATAATATGTAAATAAATATGCTTTCAGACAAATATTGCTTGACATTTTCTTAGTATCAATCTCTTTGTATGTAAATATCCTTTTTGGGGGTCCTATTTGCTTTATCTTTGGATAGTTATTTTGTTTGAAAAAGTAAGTCCTGATAATATTATCGTAACACATCAGAGGCAAGGATTCTGGAAAATAAGTCTGTTGTTCATTTAAATACTTTAAAATTTCCACCAAACTGACAAAAACAAAATAATCTCAGAGTTTTACTTTAGAAAAGCCTAAATTCCTTTACAGTAGAGCCTCCATTAGAAAAGAAACATTGCATTCTCATGAAGAAATATCTTAAAGGCCCACTTCTTTTTTCCCCCCTGAAACATGGCTGGATTTATCCTGTCTACTTGAACAGCCCATTATTAAGCAAGTGACAGTGTGAGGTTGGTTTTTGTGGTTGTTTCACATACGAGTTAAGGGGAAAATATACTGTGCAAAGGGTCTGAAGGAAAGCGCTATATCCTGAGTTCTCTGAGGATATAGAGAAACCCTTTTCTGACTCATCCTGTATAGGCAACACCTATCACATATATTTAACTTATAAAGGCAAAATAGCTGGGCAGATCTCCTTGGAAAAAGAATGCAAGCTCATCTCAAAAGATTATCCTTTGGCATCTCTGTGCATAAATTTAAAACTCTGTAGTCACTTTCTTGGAACTTTTTTAAAAAGAAATACATGACATGGTAACAGAGCCTGCCTATACACATTGTATAAAAATGATTTAAATGATATGATATTCATGAAAGGCCAATTATTTGCATGCATTTCTAAGCAGTATGGCCTACTTTCCATTATCTGTCTTGACTAGAGTCATAGAAAGTTGTAAGACAAGTGACAAGCTTAGAGTACCCCATCCTTCTGAGAGTTCCTTCTGCTTTTTTTTTTGTGGGCCCCTGAAGTCAAATGGTGATGAGAAGACCCCGTTTCCTCTTTGTGGACCATTTTCTAAATTGTGAGGCAGTGAAGCTGTTTATTTTTCCCACATCTGTTTTGGGCTCCTCCTTTGTGGCAGTGTTTGCCGGATGTTGTATCCCTTCTACCTCGCCTGAAATGAGGAGTTGAGTTTGCACTGTT